TTGTCCATCTGAAGCTGAAGTGGTCATGCTGTGGCCCTCCAGATGTTTTTGGACTCCATGCCATCAGCCCCTGAATGTCTAGTGGGCAGGGATGATCAGAGTTGGAGTCCAGCAACATCTAAGGTCTCCTTCAAAATGTAAGAATGGCTTATGGCTCTAGAATCCCTAAATAATGCATAGCTTCCACACTGGCATTTTAAAAACTGCACATTCTAGTTTGGATCAATGGAAACCATGTAAATGCTTGCAATTGCTTTAGGAAGCATGCTTTGTTAACAAACATGTGAGGGGGACAGCAGGAATGAGCATGCTGGTTCTGCCACCTCTATTGCTGTTACAAGGTGTCACTCTAAAGCCATAGATGTACCAGCTACATTTGAGAACCTTAATAATGCAGGGTTCTAAAATACACAGGGAGCCTTCAAAGCTCTCTTCAGATTGTCACCTTCTGTGAGTTAGATGGTGACCAATACAATGACAAAGGAGCGTGAAACTAGCATGTTAACCCTCTTTCTCTTCCTCATGTGTAACACCTAAGTTTTTTTATTTGATAGTCATAAGAAAATGCACAGGAATGTGCTTATTTTTCCCTCTACCATTTATTATGTACCTAGCGTTAAAGACAAGTGCCTTAATCCAACAGCAAGACTAGCTGACACAGCCAGAATCATACATATAATTTGTGGCTTAGGAGGGCATTGAACTGCCTCCCTAGCACCATAGTCCACTCAGGGCATTTCTTCTGACCTGAATGAGATGAGGATATCCCGTTTTATGAAGGATTTGTTGATTATCTGCTCATGGAAAGGAAAAGACAATGTGTCCTTGCCAGAAACTCCAACTCAGTCATGTCTCAGTGATCAAGAAATGCCACCACGCCAGGCCTAGAAACACATTGCCTACTGGCCTGCGAGGATTAATTAAATTACAATCAGACATTTTAATGGAAGGACTTTGGAGGCTGTTGTCTTGGCAACTGTTTTAAACAGCTGGTTTAATGATGGGTGGAGAAGGAGGTTGCTGGGAGAGCTGGGCTTGGGGACGGAGCAGCAATCTGCTTTCTTAAAAGTGGCAGAGATGTTGAGCAGAGATGGGGCTTTTGGAATTAGTTTTGTCTTGTCTTACCCATCATGCAATACGGCACACTTATTTTCCTTTTGGAGCTAAACCAACATTATAAATTATTATGATTGTCATTTTGGGGGGAAAGGAAAGTGTTCTGTAAATGTTCTGATTCTCTCCTCGGCCCTTCTCGACTTCTCTCCTACCTTTCCCAGAAGCTCAGCCATCGCTAACATTTTCTTTTCATGCTTCAGCCATAGCTTGACAATTAGAAATTGAGTCACTGAACAGCAAGATGGGACAATGAGCGACAGCCAGGCAGGAGGCTGCAGCAGATGGCTCCTTTGTGACAAGCTCTCCCCCCTCGCAACAGCTCAGTCTCTGTCCCCATCCTCCTAGCATGGAATCTCATGCAAGTGCTTTGAAGCGCCCCTTCGCACACAGCGGTTTTCTGGCCAGCAAGTAACAGAATCTCTGTCAGTGAGAGCTACTGGCCCATCAGGCAGCTTCATGAAGCCCTTGGTTCACATGGCTGGTCTAATCTCCCAGCCTGATGGTTGCCAATGTTTGCAGCTTGGTGTTATGTAGACACCATGTTGTAATCAAATGGCTACTCAAATATGCAAATCCTGGTAGGGAAAAGACAATGTAATTTGTTTGTTTATCCCTCCCCCCTCTCTCCCCAAAGGCCATAAATGATTAACATTGGAAAAGAGACCCGGGTGTACTCAAAACAGTTCTGTTCCTGCTGTGTGCATAGGGGTCTGTTATAATCCAAGCAGAGTTTTCTTGCAGCAGGAGGGATTTGTATAATGAAGCCTAAAATATCACCCACACCAACAGGCCAGGAGGCCTTCGTACTGAACAAGCCAAATACCCTTCTGCTTCATTTGTTTATCAGCCAAGGACTATATTTTCATTTACTGGAGTCAGCAGACTTCAGGAGGTGACCCGTATTGGATAAAAAATTCAAACTTGTTTTTAGGTATTTCATTCTAGTGCCCAAAGTAGACAAATCCAAATGGCACTCCTCACAATAGTTTTAAAAAAGACATAATAAATGAAATAGCTCACAATTTGCTGCTTGTAACAACACCTCAAAATCTTCTGCACAAGCTGGGCAGCCTCACAGGGCTGAACTAAATCACATTTTCATTACTGATTTTAGGCAAATGCCTAGGTGTTGATGGTTGATAAACCCATGTCAGGGTTGTACTGTTTCATACTTTATGTGGGACTCACATGCTTGAATACTCCTTCATTTAACAACACCCCCCCCCAAAAAAACCCTTTAAGTGTTAGAGGGGAGACCTATGCTAGAATATTTCTCCCTGATGTTCTATTTTTGTGTGGATGAACATTCAATAATGTGATTCTGCTTAGTCCTACCTACTGGATAGCTCAGTTAGTTAGAGCATAGTGCTGATCCCGCCACGGTTGCAGGTTTGATCCCTGTAAGGGACAGCTGTATATTCCTGCATTGCAGGGGGGCTGGATTAGATGATCCTCAACTTCCTTTCCAACTCTATTATTCTATGTCTGCCAACTAAAATAAAATATTGGGGGTGAGGGTGGCTTGTAAGCCCTGGCCCAAATAATTGCTCACGAGACAGTGCACACACATGCCCATCAACTTGGGGAGGGGGGCAAAGGAACTTAGGCCCCTAGGAGTTGGCTGCTATGCTGCCGATCCCTATAGCCCAAGGTGGTGATAGCCCAGACACAGGTTTACCTCTTCAATGAGAATCATTAAAACAATGGGATGTAGGCTTCCACTAACTAAATTTGAAAAGTCATTGTTCAAATTTCTAACTATTACCAGCCTAAGCTGCAATTATATATGTAATTTGCTAACTCAGACTGTGGGCTGCTATGCCACTCAGTGTATGCCATGTATAACTGATGGAAGGTTTTTGCTCTTATGTAATAAAAATATTGTTTTATTTACTTTTATGTTTTGATACTAGAATTTGGGGCTTTTGAAACACTTTATTGCTTTGGAAGATGTTGCCTGTCACCTTGGAAGGTGATAGGCACAGACATGCATGGGTGGCAGTTAGGGTCCTCTTTCCAATGCTTATAAGTGAGAAATTAATAGTTGGGGTTTTTCAAAAAAAGGGGGGGATAGGTAAAGGTGCAGTAAAGTGTTGTTTTCAAATCTGGAGCCAATGTACAAAGGAATAATGAAAAATAACCTGGGAATTGGTGTTTAGAGCCCCTACCTACATTGTCTACGTTTCCATCCTCATTAAGGGTAGAGAGCCCTAGGCCTGGGCCCCAAATGCGGCCCTCCAGGCCCCTCTATCCTCACTGACAGCTATAGCTTCCAATTCATCCCAGAAACTTGCCCAACACAATCCAATAACGGTAACTGAAAAAAGCAATACTTTAACTGTGGCTAACAAAGAGTTATTCCCCTCATAAGTGACTACCATGACTTCAAATTGCATTCACTTATGTGGGGGGAAATGCAAGAAGGTTATGGCTGTTTTGGTTTCCCAGTGCAAGTGAATGGGAGAAACACAATTTGAATTCAGGTCTGAATCGATCTGGATCAAATTGGTGTCCATTCTGAACTACTAAATCAGGTCCTGCATCAGATGAGAGGGGGTATTTGCAGAGGGAATAAAATACAAATAAAGTACTGATGGTAACAGTTGCCATTCTCTCTCACACAAAGTTGTATAAATAATACAAACATTCTGGCATTGTTAAGCCAATTAACACACATAGTGTGATAAAATTAAATTTTGCTGATTCAGTCCGCAAGTGAGAACCTCTTGATGAATTGTAATTCAGCAGTTTCACATTGTAGTTTTGCTTTGAAATTCCTTTGTTCCAGTGTGGAACTATTTGTTCCAGAGCGTTCTGAAAGGTTGAAATGTTCTCCCACTGTTTTTATTAATACTGCTTTTGCTGATATTAGATTTGTTTCTGTTTGTTATTTAGTGTAGCAACTGGTCTATTTCTCCTATGTTGAACACAGGAGGGCATTGTTGACAGGTATATAGAGTTATATAGAGATATAGATATACATATTTCACATTGGAAGATGAGCTGATGTTGTGTATGACATTATTCAGACCTGTAATAGTGTTGTCATTGTAGACAAAGGGACAGAGTTGGCATCTGGGTATGCTGCAGGGTCTGGTTCCTGTATTCGTACCTCTGTTATGTGGCCTGTTGCTCACAAATTAAATGAAGAACTGTGTTTGAATGTCTATATTCTGTTTCAAAGGAATGCATGATGAAACAATGCATTCAGGTCAAGCCTGTGTTCTGCTGACATTTAGAAGTGACACACCTGCTTTTTCACTTGGTGAAATTGTATGAAGAATCAACACATAGTGGGGTGGGAAAGAGCAAAATCATTCAGCTTCCATATATTAATTTATTATGTACACATAAAGCTGGGATGGGAAATCTGTGGCCATCCAGATGCTGCTAAACTACAGCTCCCATCATCCCTGACCATTGGCCATGCTGGCTGGGACTAGCTGAATTCCAATACCTGCAGAGCCAAAGGTTTCCCATCCCTGACAAAGGGCTTGCATGCATTCAAGTTGTATCTGCATAGACACAACTGGAACCTGAATAGTGGGGGCCCCAGTCATGAAGAAAGCCTATAAGCATCCAAGTGTTCATTTATGCTCTGTGCACACAAGGTCAATGGACTTGTGGAGATTGGAGCAGGGACTCTCCTCTGTTTTCCTTTCCATTGTGTGTGCAATTTAACTATTGAATACCTAAAATGCATTCCAAATGTCGTTTGTGAATTCTTCACAGCACTCTTATAATATGATTCCATTTGGATGTGCTGGGTATCAGACCAGCCATATATTTACTTCCCATCGTATAGCCACTTGATTAGGATCTGCCTGTATTTCTCCCTCACATTTAATGACAGTGATTTAACCTGCAGTATGTCTTTATTCCAGATCCGAGCAGATGGGCCTCCTCATGGTGGCATTCAGTATGAAATGGTGCCAGTTTTCAAGGACGGGAGTCATATCCTTCGTGACATGGCCTTCTCCACAGATCATAATTACCTCTATGTCATGTCAGAAAGACAGGTAAGCCTTGCTCTTTAAAACCACAGTAGGCTTTAAGCTTAGCTCCTCTGCAATGGGAAAGCCTTGCATATTCCAAAGGACTCTTAACATTTGCTTCAGGTATGGATAGTGCCAAAGGTAGCTTTATTTTTATCTGAGTCTGGCCAGAGACAACTGTCAGTGCACCAGGGGAGGAGGAGTTTTCCTTCTCATCAGCACACTATTGTCTCTAAGAAATGGAAATTGGACAGTGCCACTATGAATGAAATATGGTTCGGGGATTTGGACTTCATTCTGCTATCAAATCCCATCCCTAGCAGAAGCCACTTCCATTCATTCCTCTCCTTGTGTTTGGCAGTAGGCTACTTTTACATAGAATTGCCCTTTGTTGTTTTATTCTTCTAGATTTCAAGGTTGTGTTTGTGTGTGCAAGAGGCTATGAAATCACAATATTGTGATTGGAGATAAAATGTGCGGCAGGTGGATAGTGTTCAAGAATGTGCAGGATACAGTTTTGTTACATGTGTCTTCTGTCCAGCCATATCCTGACCTTCCCCTTTTTAGTGTTAGAAAATATAGCAGTGGCAAGGATTCTGGATGGCAATTCTGAATGTTGTTAGTGTAACATACAAACCATGTTTAGGTTGAAAGTGTTTTGAGACTTTGGTACTTTTTATTTAGAAATGTAGGAATTCAAATACCGTCCCATGAACAACTGATCAGCTTTACAATAAGTTTGAATAATTCTGTGATCCACCTCTAAACCTTTAAGAACTCACTGGCCTTGTCCTTTAAAATGTCTAGATATAACCAATAAATTCAATCTTTTGCTTTAAATTTCACCCACACAATGCAATTATACACCTGGTTTTAAAGGGACACGGGTGGCACTGTGGTCTAACCCACTGAGCCTCTTGGGCTTGCCAATCGTAAGGTCAGCAGTTCAAAACCGAACGACAGGGTGAGCTCCCGTTGCTTTGTCCCAGCTCCTGCCAACCTAGCAGCTTGAAAGCATACCTGCATGAGTAGATAAATAGGTACTGCTATGGGGGAAAGGTAAACAATGTTTCTGTGCTCTTTGGCATATGTCAAGGTGTTCTGTGCACCATTTATTCATGCTGGCCACATGACCCGGAAAAAGCTGTCTGCAGACAAATACCGGCTCCCTTGGCCTGAAAGCGGAGATAAGCACTGCACCCCATAGTTGAATTTGACTGGACTTAACCATCCAGGGGTCCTTTACCTTTATAGGTATAGGTATTAGAGCAATCCATACCCCAATTCCCCACTGATATGGCTTTGTGGGGCAGTGGGGCCACCACTGCATCCACAGCCCTGATGTTCATCATGGCTGCATCCAACAGCGATCCAGCCAATGTGCCTGCCACCCAGCAGCATGGTAGGCAAGTAGATGGAGGAGGTTGGCACAAGGAGAGCTGGATTGAAGGACACCTCTGCTCCTTCCAAACCCACCTTCAGCCCAATGTAAGGAGGGTTTGGATTGCTCATTTAGTGCTACATCTGTGCTATCTTGGGATGGGCTGATGAGGGAAAGAAATTGTCTCCGAGTAGTTGCAAACAGGTTCCGTGATGGGGCTCAGATCTTATCCATTCACTACTCACTAGGTTGTTCTATAATTTTTCAATTCAGTCTGATAGGTCCAGTCTAAGACTTTACTGGAAATAGTCACCATTTGATTGAAGACCGTGGCAACATGTGCATGAATTCTACTGGAACTAAACTGTATCAATAGATGCAATCTAGATAGAAGGTTTCTTCTTAGTTTGATACCACTGTTGTCTTCACGGGTTTTTCTCTTTCTTATGATTAGGCACAATTTTTCTGTGTTGTCCTCCATGAAGTGTCGCTTATAATTTTCTCTACTTCATGGTGATCCCTCTGCAGTGAATTCACAATGTACATATCTCACTTGCCCCAGGCTGTTTTGTCAGTAGTTCTCATTTATCACATTTACCCTACAGCCATTGGGAATAGATGTGGGTGGTGATCCACACAACACTTCAGCTGGTGAGCATACACTTAAAACAGCACAATTCCACTTGGATGGTATTTAATGTGAGCATGCAATTTTAGGAAATTGATGGTTTGCTCTAAACTTTCTTGATGTTCAAAACTCATTTCACTTGAGAGGAAAGAGGAGAGTGACAAACTCCCTCCCTCTAAACCAAATTTTAAACAGTGAGCTGGTAGCTGAGTCACTGCTTCCCAGGTTGTGTCAGCTGTTCGATTCCCTGATATTTACTGTCTTCATGGTCCTTGCTCTGAACCTGTTTATGAGTGTGATAAACTGTGCTTCTGAAAAAAGGAACCAGATTGTACCCGGCAACACCAAAATGATTATGATGGGAATTTATTGCCTTTGCAGTCCACTAGAGTCTGTTGCTTAAGGGAGCCAACACCATGTAAATAATCCAGAACCTCGACTGTAACAGATCAACTGCATTCCACTCCTGTCGGGGATGAGAAAATGCAAGAGGTCCCAGCCATGAAGCCCTGCTCTTGGGTTCACTGATTCAGTTAAGCATTTTAGTGGCTATCATTCATGGCTCTGTAATGGTGAATAATTTGTCTAGTGCTGTGTGTATGGCAGTAGATGAGGGTACCATCTCAAGGAGTCTGGTTTGTGCTACATTTTTATTTGTAGAATTTAATTCTTTGGAAATGGATTTTCAGAAGGCAGTACAAGGGACTTGATTTTCCAGTTTTTTGATTTTCTATATTAGCTCATATTGAACAAAAAAAGACTCATAGGGTTGTATTCAATGTAGTTCTACTCAAAGTAGACCTCTTGGACCATATTCAAGTAACCAATAATCCATAGCTAGCAGTAGGTTGGCATTTATGCATCATAAAAAGGCAGAGAAGAACAGGCATGGACTGGCAGGGCTCCAAAAAGTGTGGGGTGGAGGCAGGGGGCCAGGAGTGTAACCCAGGAGTGTGAGCTAATGATTTATGGGACTCGGTGCTGCCTGCATGGCAGGAGCCAAGTCAGGGAGAGGAGGAAGAGTCAGGGCAGTTTGAGATGGAAGAAGGTGTGCAGGATGTCACAGAGGAAGAAGAAACTATTCAGACAAGGGAAAGGCCAGTCGACTCTTTACTTTCTCCCACCCCGCTGTCTCCTAGGACCAGGAGGGGCTTGAAAAGGGAAGAGCAGCAACAACTTCCATGCAGGCAAAGTCTCAGGTTGCAGTCATGCAACCCCTCAGAACAGGGTATATAAGCTGGAGGAGGGGAGGGGGCCCACTGTTGCTGCAACCTGTGGACAGCTGCCTAGAGGTTAGAAAATGTCTGTGTGTGTATATATATTCGGAGCACCGTGGGAGCTGCTTCTCTTGTCATTAAAGAGTTAACTATCAACTTCTTTAGCAGGGGCAGCAGTCTGTGACAGGAACACAGAACTACATTAGATTTGCATGTGTACAGATGTAAATTTGGAAATTATTATTATAATTTAAATAGAAACACGTTGCATCTCTGCATTGTGGGGAAGACTGTGGCCAGGTGATCTGCACTGCCCAGGTGCTGACTCTTGATGTGCAACATGCCCTCTCACCTTATGGTTCTTTATCTGTAAACAAGACATGGACTGAACAACCCTTCAAATGAGACGACTGTCCTCTGACAGGCCTGCAAACAGAAGACTGTCCTCTGAAAAGTCAGACACATGGCCATCAGAGATGATAATCCTGCTGTGTGATTATTAAGTGAAAAGAGTTAGCCACCCCTGCCTTGGAGCTATAAACACAGAGTACAGTGTACCCCAGACAGCTTCGTGAATCATCATCTTCTTAGAACTCGTATTACAGATGGTTGTGCTCTAAGCCGTTTACCGACATCTTTCTTGCTTCTCCCCCTTCTTGTTTGTTTAACATCCAGCTGTAGGAAGAGTTCAATGAATCACAAAAGCTAGCTCAGCACTTCATGACCTTTAGTTGCTCCTAATAAATGTATTATGATACTGCATCTTAGATTTTCCCCCTCCTTTTTCTAATGGATCAACATGACTTCTTCTATTCTATTTTTTGTCAAAGCAGCAAATGGAGGTGGGCCCAGCTGTGAGGTGCAAGAGTTGTGCTTCCTCAACTATAATGTCCCATTGTAAATTTAAACTGGCTGGTCATTTTTGCAAGGATGCCTTATCTCTAGCTTGGCAGGAAGAATTCAAAGAAACTGAACCACACACGAAGTTTCCCAATAGAGATGGAGCAGGGATGTCTTCAACTCATCTGTTATGGGGTGAGAGGGCCTAAATATTCATCAGAGCTGCTAATTCTCTTAATTGTGAATTGGGGAGAGTTACTAAATAATGAAAAATACCTAAAGTGCAATTCCATTAAGAACTGTGTTTTACTCAATGGTGAAGTGTTTTACATGTCTCCTTTGTTGTTAACCTGTTCGTGATTGTTTCTGTACCACTGTTCCCAGTTAAGAGAAGAGACTCTTCTCACAGAGATCTTAAGGAAGTGAAACATTTTTTGTGCAGAGTGCTTTTTAATGACTAGCAGGGGAAAAACATAGGTTATTTCATTGGGGACAAAAATAGAGGAAAGTTTTAAAAAAAGACCACCAAATTCAATCTGCAAAAGCAGCTGGAATCAAATATGAAATTTTGAAGAGACTTTGAAACTTCACTTGAGTCTGCAAAAAGAGAAGCAAAGAAAGCTGAATAAAGTTCTTCTGCCTTCACAAGTTTTGTCAGAGATATATCCTTTGAAGTTCTGTCGATGCAGTGATGTATGGGAGAAAAGTGTGGTCCATGTCTTTTTTCCTATGATTTCTATTCTGCCATTTGCAATCAAAGACCCTCCTTCTGTTTTTGGCCTATTCGCCATACTAAGTTATTTATTAGCAGATTACATTCCTTGACTTTCTTTGGTGGTATGCATATGTGTATCCGCTAAACTAGTAGAGCAGACTAGGAATCAGTTATTTTCTTAGGAGTAACTTTTCCTAAGAAACAAGAAGCTTTTCTCTTAGGTATTAAAGGTCCAGAGATCCT